GCCCCTGGGGGGGCCAGGTCAGGGGGTGGGGGGCAGCTCAGGCCGCGTCCCCACGAGGGGGAGGATGACGGCACCTCGCGGCCGCCGTCTGAAGGCGAGAGGGACCGGGCGGCACCGCAGCTTCCTCGCTCCTCCCCTCCTCGCGGCCACCTCGGTCCCCTGTCCCCAGCTCGGACGCGCGGCTCCTCTCGCTGCCCACGGCCTGGCGACAGGAGCGTCCTGGGCGCGAGCATTTGGTGGTGGTGGTGTGGCCGAGGGCGGTGCTCATGGTGGGCTAACTCCAGCCCGGAGCGGGCGCTTGCCCGGTGAGACCGGCCCCCGGACGGGAGGTGGCTGGGCACCGGCTCTCTGGACTTTTCCCACGAGATGAGGTGTGACCGACGGCCTGGCTGAGGCACCGGCACTTCCCTGTGGGGGGCCGTGTGCACACTGGCCGGGCTGGGGTCCCTCCGTCTTCCTGTGAATGACACTCTTCCGTCTTGGGCTGGGAGTGTCCCTCCTTGGCTCATGTAACACCTTATCCAACTGGGGGGTGGCGGTGGGGGTTGTCACTCTCGAGTGGGGACAAGTACCTGCAGAGACCCCTTCCACTCCCCTGAACCAAGAGCAACCCCCCTCGTCTTGGTGGGGACCTCACAGCCAGGGCTAGGGTGCCACCAGCGCCCAGGTCGCCCCCTTGTGGGTGAGTGACACCCTTCGGGCTGCGGGAGGAGTCACAGGCTTTCTGGAACAAACCCACACAGCAGGGCAGCTCTGATGTCCAGAACGTGGGTGGGTGTGCACATGCGTGTGCATGTGTGTGTGTGCACGCATGTGGACGTGTGTACTCTGGACCCCACACCCTATGCAGCTCGTTTGTGCAGTTTGGTATCAGAGAGAACGGGTGGGAAAGTGAGCAACCTGTCTGACTGGTGTCAGCACAGCCTGGGCCCCGCGGGCTGGCCTGGGCCCCGAAGAGATGCCCCCTGTTGAGATGCCCCCTGTCGGGCAGGTGGGGCAGGGGGCAGGTGCAGGGACCCTCTGGGAAGCGAGCTCTCAGCTGAGACGGGCCTCACGTGCGGTTCTGCGGTCACGGGGTCCAGGTCATACCGCAGCCCTGGCCTCTCCGCATCTGTTTCCCTGAGTAACGGCTCTGTGGACAGCCGGGCAGCGTGTGTGCGCCCGACGTTCCCTGAGACGTCAGGGGACTCAGCTCGGAGCTCGCACGCAGGGGGTGCCGGGAGGGTCCCTGAGACTGGGCTGTGGGGGCGGGAAACGGAGGTCGAAGAACCAGCTTCCTCACTGTCCCTACAGGCCCAGTTTCCTGTGTTTCCTGAAATGGCACAGGTGGGGGGGTGTCGGGGGGACTGGCCGGAGGAAACGGGGAGATGGGGGGAGGTTGGCTCTGTCCTTGTCTGTGCCGTGCTGATGGTGGGAGTCACTATGGCAGCCATTGTCCCTTCTAGAGGAGAGGGCGTGAGCACACGGGGGTGCTGCCGATGGAGGCCCCAGGGCCCTGACGGAGCCGCTTCCCGGGTCCTCCCTGCAGGTGGAGGTGATCAAGAAGGCCTACCTGCAGGGGGAGGGGGAGGAGGAGCCGGAGGAGGGAGAGAACGAGGAGAACAGCGAGGACGGAGCGGCCTCCCCCCGGATCGTGGGCCACAACATCTACATCTTAGCTCACCAGGTGCGCCCTCCCCCTCACCCCCCTACCCCCGCTGCCGGGACCCTCGCCGCGTGCCCCTCCCTCCTTCCCGGTGTCACCCAGTTGGGCTGGCTCTGTCCGTGCAGGGGGTTCCCGGGCACTAAGGGCCGCCTGGCCGAGTGCTGAGTTCCAGGACACTTCCCCTCCCACGGTGCTGGGGTCACGTCCCTGGAAACCCCCCTCCCCCCTCGCCCCACTTCTAGCAGCCGCCAGGGACTC